GCGTCGACGGATATGTGGCCGCAGGGCGCCGCCGGCTCGACTCCATCGGCGGGCCTGGCGGGAGGCGATCGCCGTCGGCCGCTCCGCGAGTGGCGGCGCTAGCGTCGCCTTCGGCGGCGACCGCCAGGGTTAAGTCGGGCATGTCCCTCTACAGGAAAAATAGTTTAAAGCAGTAAAAAACACGGACAAGGGGCGTTTTTTTTTTTTTTGTGTGTGTGTGAGTTGGACAACTGTTGGGAATTATTCGTTTTAGGTTTTCCTCGCAAATCCGCCTGTAGGGTGACGCGCCCGACCCAACAGCAGGGCCAGGACCGCCAGCGCGACCGCCGGCGGCGAGGACACCCCTGACTCGGCCACCACTTCGTCCACCAGGACCTCCACGACAGCCGCCACGACCGCCACAACCACAGGGACCGCCACGACCACCACCGCCGCGACAGCCACCGCGACGCCCGCCGCCCGCGGCCCGCACCGCCACGGCGCCCGCGAGGATCCGACGACCGCCCCCCGCCCCCCGCCTCTTCCCTGCCCCCGTGCCCGGCCGCCCTTGCATGCTGCTCCAGGCCTGTTCTGTTTCCTGTTGGAGTTGTAATTAACAGCCCCTGTCGGCAGTGGCCCAGCACCCTCTCGTGTAGGCTGGACGCGTGCTCGCACGCCTGGCCCCGGTTGACACCAGACCTGAAGAGGGTCCGGTGCCTGGGCGACGGACAGAGGAGGGGGATGAAAAGGATGAGGAGCAGAATGTGGAGGATGAGGACAAGGATGATGAGCAATATAATGATCATACTCGTACTAACGATATTAGTAACAGTATACGAGGAAGATGAGTCATACCATGAAGAAATTCAGAACAGTAATGACATGATGACTACGACTCAGAATACTGGGAAATCATCTTATTGGGGAGCAGTAGCAATCATAAGTGGACGACTAATGATGATACGATGAAAGAACAATGCGAATTACCATAATCATAATTCTAATATTACTAAACATCATAATAATAGTCAACGAACATGATTGATACTACTCGTGCGAAAATAATTGTATTATTACAATTAATACTTATACACATAACAATCAGGATACTACTAGTACTATTAATATTAATATTACTGGTAGTATTACTCGCAATACTAGTACAGATAATCATAGTCGTATTCTTATTCATCTTAGCAATATTAACAATGGTATTCTTATTCTTATTACAAATAATGTGAACACTTCTATCAGTAGCAATTTCAATACACATACTAACAATGGCAACACCAGTAACATCAATACTAATAGTTCCAATCCCACTACTACCAATGCTAATAATGATCATAATACCGTTGTAACGGTAGAGGGAAACAATTACTGAACACTCCCCCTCCCCCCCAAACTCAATGTTGGCACGCGCGGGGGAGACTGCGGTCGAAGTGCATCTCATCAGACCCACCGCCAACTTTGAACATTGGGGGGAAGGGGAGGCGTTGACGGATGAATGTGGCATGTGTTCGCTAATTTGTTCCGAGGCCTGAATTACACATGACCAACGACAGTAGCAATAACTTTATGGAGGAGGAGGAGGAAGAGGAGGAGGAGGGAAAGGAGGAGGAGGAGGAGGAGAGGGAGGAGGAGGAGGAGGAGGAGGAGGAGGAGGAGGAGGAGGAGGAGGAGGAGGAGGAGGAGGAGGAGGAGGAGGAAGAGGAGGAGGCAAGGACCGCCGCACCTCCGCCCCCACCTGGTCCGCCTCTCCCCTCCCTGGGGTTTGGTGGGCCACTCTGGGCCTCCCGGGTTGGCGTCGGAGCAGATGGGCTCGGAGGATCGCGCCGCGTCGCCGATGCTTCGGCGATGTGGCTCAATGTGGAGCCCGATTTTTTCAACGCCGGCGTCGCCGACGCACCACCCACGTCGCCGATGCATCGTCGGTGCATCGTCAATGTATCGGCGATGCGGCGCGATTCTCCGACCCAAACTACTCGGATCCCGTGTGGGCGGCCTCTAGCCAACGAGCTTCGGCTCCCGAGTGTATGGATGTCCTGCAAGAAGGGTGCAACATGTATGCCCCTACCCCGTCGGGGTGCTCTTTTGGAAAGCGCGCCACTGGATCACCCTGTAATTGAAAAGAGGGGGTGTGCTCGCAGAACTTCCCCCCCCTCCCCCCTTTCAAATGGGGGGTGAGATTTTCGACCTCCCCCCCTCCCCTCCTCCCCTTAAAGGGGGGGGGGTCCGACCCCTCCCTCCCTCCCCCCCTTGAAGGGGGGGGGGTTCCGGACCCCCCCCTCCCCTCCCCCCCTTGGCTCTGGAATGGGGGGGGGGTTCGAACCCCCCCACTCCCCCCCTTTGCGCCGAACAAGGGGCCAGGGAGGGGGCCTCTCCCGCAAGGGGGGGGGTCTGGCTTCGGGATAGTGAGTAGTGAGTAGTGAGTAGGGAGTAGTGAGTAGGGAGTAGATCGTAGCGAGTAGTGAGTAGTGAGTAGTGAGTAGTGGGTAGTTGGTAGTGGGGACTGGGTAGGGAGTAGCGAGTAGCGTGTGGGGAGTAGCGAGTATTGAATAGTGAGTAGCGAGTAAGGCACTGTGAGTAGTGAGTGGCGAGGAGGGAGTCCGTAGTGAGTAGTGATTAGGGAGTAGTGAGTAGCGAGAAGGGCGTAGCGAGTAGTGAGAGTAGTGAGTAGTGAGTAGTGAGTAGCGAGTAGTGAGTAGGGAGTAGTGTGTAGTGAGAGGTGAGAAGTGAGAAGTGGGTAGTGAGTATTGGGACGTGCGTAGGGAGTAGCGAGTAGAGAGTAGTGAGTAGTGAGTAGTGCGTCGTGAGTAGTTAGTACTGAGTAGTGAGTAGTGATTTGTGACCTGTGACTAGTGGCTAGTGAGTAGGGAGTAGGGAGTCGTGAGTCGTGCGTAGTGAGTAGTGAATTGTGGGTAATGAAAATTGTGCATCGGGCCGGGTAGCGAGTAGCGAGTAGGGAATAGCGAGTAGTGAGTAGTGAGTAGTGAGCAGTGAGTACCGTGCAAGGAGTAGGGAGTAGCGAGTAGCGAGCAGCGGATAGTGAGTAGTGGATTGTGGGCAGTAAGTAGTGAGTAGTGAATTGTGAGTACTTATAGTAATGAGTTGCGGATAGTGGTTGGTGGGTTGTGGGTAGTGGTTAGTGAGTAGTGAGCAGTGGGTAGTGAGTAGTTTTTAGTGAGAAGTGAATATTGAGTAGTGGGTAGTAAATGGTGAAATGGGAGTAATGAGTAGTGAGTTGGGAGTAGTGAGTAGTGAGTGGTGAGTAGTGCGTAGTGGGTAGTGGGTAGTGAGTAGTGGGTAGTGAGTAGTGAGTCGTGAGTAGTGAGCAGTCAGTAGTGAGAAGGGCAGTAGCGAGTAGTGAGTAGTGCGTAGTGTGTAGTGAATAGTGAGTACTGAGTACTGTTTGGGGTTAGGGTTAGGGTTTGTGGTTAGGGTTACGGGTGGTCGGGGTGGTAGTGTTAGGGGTGGTAAGGGTCGGGTTCCGGAGCCAGGGGGCGCCGTGGCGAAAGGGGGGAGGGGGGGGGGCTCGAATTTGGCGGCCAGAGGAGGGGGGGGGGTCCCCGACGACGGACCAGGAAACGGGGGGAGGGGGGGGGTTCTCCGACGACGGATCGGGGAAGAGGGGGGCGGGGGGATGGGTTCCCACCCCCCTTTGGGGAGGTCCAGCAGCGCGCCCTCGCTCCTTTGCCCCCTTATTCTCAGAGCTCTAGAGGATGATACCAACATCAATATCGGTGGTGTGCCTCCACCGAGGCAAGACGCCTCCCGATCTCGGCGATGGTGGTCATACTCGGGCTTCCCAGGTGCACAAAACGTATACCACCGCTGTGGTGGTGGTGGTGGTGATGATGATTACGGTCGGGAGCTTTTTGGATGGCGTGTCGCTCCGCCGGTTCCGGCCCACCGCGCTTCGTCTCGACACGCTGCCCACTTCGCGGCCCCCAGGCGTCAACGTCCTTGGCTTTCCCGAGCTTCCAGCGACACGCTGTCCGCTTGCAGGGCATAACGTGTTGTCGGGGCCGCCGTGGCGACACTCTACGTAAACGTTCCCGACCGTACTCCTTTGTTTTGCCCCCGTTCACTTCGGATGCAACTCTTCGGAGGTCAAAATCTGGCTTTGCCGTGGTCCGAAATCCAGTTCAGATCGGCTTGATTCCGCTTCATCCCGTTTCATCTGGCTTATATCCGGCGTGGTATCCCATTTCATCCGCGGCCTAATTCGGCGTAGCAGCCCCCCCGTGGGGCTTAATCCTCTTTAATCCTTCCGACGAAGGCCTCCCAGTAGTTGTCTCGTAACTTCACGGAGGCGACACACTACGTAAACGTTCTCGACCGTAATCTTAAGATGTCCCAGTCTACTCCAGCCTTGATGATCAGAAAGCATCGCGAACACCAATGAAACACCGAAACTGGAGGGTTTTCCTATGACAGGCCCTGGGAGGCGATACTCGTTCGACGCTTTGACAGCGTGTCGGACAGACTCTGTTCCGACTGATACTCTTCTGGGTGCTCGGAATTATTTGTGGGACGTAGTCTTTGACTACGACGGAAACAGCATACCCATACCCCCGATGTCATGTTTTTTTTCATAACGTCGACCCCCAGAGGTCTCGACCCACTCCTGGGACCGAATTCTCATCCCGAGCCATTTTTTTTCCGGTCCCGAGGCCAGGTGAGGGCCCCCAGAGGCCGAAAATGGAGAGACCGTTTCCCGTCGTGATCTTCTCGTGACCCGAGGGGGCCTGGGTAGCCGTAGGCCCCTGTCGGGGCAGGGGTGGGCGGAGATGAAGCGAGCGAGCGGGGGCGCCTGGAAGGGGGAGGGATGACTCGATGGTGGGCGCATATTCATCTTGAAGCCATGGCCGCGGTGCCGAGGTCGGCGATCAGGCTGCGACGCCCGCAGCGCGCGCTGCTCCACGAGCAAGGACTCCGCGCCTTGCGAGGCGCGAGCACGCTCGCACAGCCCCCCAAAACCAGTGCAGGATGCACGGGCACATCCCCCCTCCGCGCAGGAGGCGGGCCCGCAGGCGAGGAGCTCGCACCAGCACGAGGGCGGCGGCGCGGGCCCGCCCGCGAGGCGCCCGCAGCCGCCCGGCGGCGGGGCCGCGGGCGCGCCGGCGCGGGGCCCGCGCGGGTGCGGCTGGGCCGCGGGCCCGCAGGCGCGGCTCTCGCACGAGGCCGCGGGGCCCGCCGGCGGGGATCCCGGGGGCGGGGCCCGCTCTGCCACCGCCACTGCCGCAGGGCCAGGAGGGGGGGGCAGAAGGGAGGACGGGGAGGTCCTCCTCCTCCTCCTCCTCCTCCTCCTCCTCCTCCTCCTCCTCCCTCTCCTCCTCCTCCCTCTCCTACCTATGGTGGTGGTGGTGGTGGTGGTGGTGGTGGACAATCGGCCCATCATATTCCCAGAGATCCAACTCGCAATTTTCGGCCTCTAGGGGCCCTCGCCGGGCCCTGGGATCGTCACAAAACGATCAGATTCAATGAGTGGGGGAGACGCATTCGGCCGCGTCCAGTGGGGTCTTGGGTCTTCGGTGGAGCTCCTTATGGGGTCGCGAAGCGTTGTACTGGACGGGAGAGGGGGATGGGGCGCATGCGACCGCGGCCACTGAGGCCTTCGGTGGAGCTCCCTTTGGAGCCACGAAGCGCTCCATTGGGTGGGGGGAGGCATGCGGCCGCGTCCAGTGGGGTCTTCGGGGGAGCTCCTTGTGGGGGCTGCGAAGCGCTGTACTGGGTTGGGGAGGCGCATGCGGCCGCGGTCACCGCGGCCTTCGGTGGAGCTCCCTATGTAGCCACGAAGCGTTGTGCTGGGTGCGGTTGGGGGTGGGGGTGGGGTGGGTGTGGGGTGGGTGTGGGGATCGGGTGGGTTGGGGGAGGGGAGCGCATGCAGTCGCGGCCGCTGGGGCCTTCAGTGGAGCTCCCCATGGGGCCATCAAGCACTGTACTGGGTAGGGGGTACGCATGCGGCCGCAGCCACTGGCGCCTTCGGTGGCGCTCCCTATGGGGCCACGAAGCGCTGTAAGTACTGGGTGGCGCGGGCGCATGCGGCCGCTGCCACCGGGGCCCCTCGGTGGAGCTCCCTATGGGGCCACGGGGCGCTGTACTGGGTGGCGCGGACGCATGCGGCCGCGTCCGCGTCCAGTGGGGTTTTCGGGGGAGCTCCCTATGGGGCCACGAAGCGTGTGAGGGGTGGGACGGAACAGATGGGGAGGGCAGAGGCAAGGATGGGAGGGGGGAGGAGGGGGAGGAGGAGAGGAAGGATACGCGGAGCGCTGTCTCTTCAAAATGAGGACCCAACACCACATAATCATTGGGAGCGAGTCGAGTATTAGAAAGTTCAGCAGATTCTGCGGAAGGCTGGGTTCAGCGTATGTCCTGCAGGTTTTTGTCACCGATCTTCTGGAGTCCCCAGGGTTCCTCATGGTTCCTCAGGGCCCATCAGGACTTTTCAGGATTCTTCAGGTTCTTTCAGAAATCTTCAGGAGTCCTGAGGATTTTTTGTTCAAGCTATCAGCTATCTCTGTACCCCCTTGGAATCCGCGCCAATCTTTTGAGAATTCAAATGCTTTTTCATGATCCTGCATGATGTCCTGTGATTTCTGTGGGTTCATTCGGAATCGCAGGTAACCAGGATTTGTTCGGATTCCTGTGGTTTCAACCGTGTTCTTCTAGGATTCCCCTGGATGTATCAGGTTCCTTCTGGATTCGCCAGGATTCCACAACATACCTTAAGTGTAAAGGTTTTGGCAGGCTTCCTCAGGACTCCTCACGATTCCTTTCGTTTCTTCGGGATTCCCGAGAAACGCTCAGGAATCCTGAGGGATCCATCTCGCTTCCAAAACAACTCTCCAGGGTTGCACCGGGTATCATTTGGGTTCTTTTGTAACCCCTCGAACTTGACACATGTAACCTTGAAGATTCCCCCTGCGTGACCAGTAGACGACCGCAACTTGCCTTTTCTCCAAAAGAGTTCTTATGGCCCACTCAGAGGGGCGCCAACAGTCCCAAGCCTGGCGCGTGCCCAGGCGAAGTCCAGTGGCGCGTGTCTAGGTGATTCTCTATCTACTGTTATGTCGGCTACTATAGTTTCTAGTGTTCAATTACTACTACTACTACTGCTACTACTCCTACTACTCCTACTACTACTACTACTACTACTACTACTACTACTACTACTACTACTACTACTACTACTACTACTATAACTACTGATATTAGTACTACCACTACTACTACTACTACTACTACTATTACTACTACTACTACTACTACTACTACTACTACTACTACTACTACTACGATTGTTAAACTTTTTCCTGCTACTACTACTACTACTACGCCTACTACTACTATCACTACGGCTACTACTACCATCATTATTTCTACTACTACTACTACCACTGCTGCTGCTACTACTACTTCTACCACGGCTGCTACTTTTACTGTTACTACCCACTACAACTACTATTACTGCTCCTTTCGCATCTATTACTACTACCACTACTACTACTACTCCAACGATGATTATTACTGGTAGTACTACTACTACTACTACTGCTACTACTACTACCGTTACTACTACCATTACTACTAGTACTACTACTATTATTATTACCCCTACTGCTACTATTTTTATTACTACCACTACTAAAACTTTGATCACTACTACTACGACGACGGTGGTGACTTGTATTACTACTACTACTACTACTACTACTGCTACCAATAGTCGTAGTACCACTACTGCTACTACTTTTATCTACTATTATCACCACCACCACTACTTGTAATATCATCATTATTACTACTGCCTCTACCACTACAATAGCTACTACTACTTCTATTAGCGCGGCTGCGGCTACGACTACGACTCTGACTACGACTACGACGGCGACGATTCCTCCTCCTGCTACTACTACGACTACTACTACTACTACTTCTTCTTGAATCAGATGTACTGCTATTACTAGTGCTAGTACTACTGCTGTTACTACTACTTTTATTGTTATTCTGATTGCTAGTACTATTGCTCCTACTTCTACAACTACGACGACGACTACTACTATTACTACTACTACTACTACTACTACTCGTACTACTACCACTGTTAACTCTCACTGCCACCGCCACTGGCACCACCAATACCACTACCTTTTACCTTTACCTTTACCACTACCACTACCACTACCACTACCATTGTTACTGCTGGGGCTACGGCGACGGCTGCTGCTGTGGCTACTCCTATTACGACGACGGCTACTATTACTACGACTACTACTATTACTATTACTACTGCTATCAGTACTACTACTACTACGACTACTACTACTACTGCTACTACTACTACTACTACTACTGTTACTACTCCTACTGCTACTACTACTGCTACTACTACGGCCACGACTACTACTACTACTGCTACTAATATTACTACTACTACTACTACTACTGCTACTACTACTACTACTACTACTACTACTACTACTAGTACTACTACTACTACTACTACTACTACTACTACTACTACTACTACTACCTACCACGATTAGTACTACTACTACTACTACGGTTACTGCTACTACCGTTACTACTAGCACTACCACTACTATCAAACTCATTATCATTTCTACGACTACTACTCGTATTCCGAGTATGATGACCACTACGACTACGACTACGACTACGAATGCGATTGCGAGTACGTTTAGGACTACGGCTACGACTACACGTATGGCTTCGTCTAGTGCTACAACAACAACAACAACTACTACTACTACTACTTCTACACCCACTACTACTACTACTACTTATATTAGTATTTTTTCTGCCACGACCCCTACAACTACTTCTACTGGCACCATTACTATTACTATTACTACTACTACTACTACCACTACTACTACTACTTGTACGAATACTACTACTACTACTACTACAAAGACGACGCCTATTACTACTCCGAGTAGTGGTAGTAGTAGTACTACTACTACTGCTAGCATTTCTGTATTATTAGTAGTACTACTACGATCACTGTTACTACTACTACTACTGCTACTACTACTACTACTACTTCTACTAGTCGCATCGCGGTTCCTACTATTACTACTACCACGACGGCTACTACTACTACTACTACTACTACTACTACTACTACGACTACGACTACTACTACTATTACTCAGCTAGTGCTGCATGCACTACTACTACTACTACTACTACTACTCCTACTCCTACTACCACTACTTACATTACTACTACTAGTATTCATTTCTTATCATTGTCACTGTTACTACTCGTACTCCTACTGCTGCTACTACTACTACTACTGCGACGACGACTACTACTACTACGCCACCACTACTACTACTGCTACTACTAGTACTAATACTCATACTAGTACTACTACTTCTACTACTACTACTGCTACTGCTACTGCTAGTACTACTACAACAACTACTAGTACTACTACTACTACTCCTACTACTACTACTACTGCTACTTCTACTAGTAGTAGTAGTAGTAGTAGTACTACTACTACTAGTACTACTACTACTACTACTGCTACTGCTACTAACTACTACTACTAACTACTACTACAACTACTACTACTACGACGAGGACGAGGACGACGACGACGACTCGTACTACTGCTACTACTACTACTACTACTACTACCACTACTACTACTACTGCTACTACTACTACTGGTAGTACTACTACTGGTAGTGCTCCTGCTGCTACAGCTACTGCAGCCACTACTACTACTACTGCCACTACTACTACTACTACTACTACTGCTACTACTACTACTACTACTACTACTGTTACCGCTACTACTACTGCTGCTACTACTATTACTATTGTGACTACTACTACTACTACTACTACTACTACTACTACTACCACTACTATTCTTACTACTACTATTACTGTTACTAGCTAGCACTACTACTACTACTACTACTATTATTACTAGTAGTAGTAGTGGTAGTAGTAGTAGTAGTAGTAGTAATCGTAGTCGTAGTTGTAGTGGTGTTGGTGGTGGTGGTGGTGGTGGTAGTAGTAGTAGTAGTATCAGTAGTAGTAGTAGTAGTAGTAGTACTACTACTACTACTACTACTACTACTATTCCTAGTACTATTACTACTACTACTACTTTCTAGTACTACTACTACTACTACTATTACTACTACTACTACTTCTAGTATTACTACTACTACTACTATTACTACTACTACTACTACTACTACTACTACTGATACGACTGATACTACTGATACTACTACTACTACTACTACTACTACTACTACTACTACTACTACTACTACTACTACTACTGCTGCTACTGCTACTGCTACTGCTACTGCCACTACTACTGCTGCTGCTGCTGCTGCTGCTGCTGCTCCTGCTTCTGCTGCTGCTGCTGCTGCTGCTGATGTGACCATGGTTGCTACTATTGCTACACATACTTTTTCCTAGCGCGGTGATAGTAGTGTTAGTCGTTATTGCCGCCTTTATCCTCGCCCGTCTGTTCTGTGCTTGTTTCCCCTTGTTCCCTTAAGATTCCCCGATGCCCGTGCAAGTCCATTGAGGCATCGGCAGTAGCACCTTGAAGGCTTCATTCCTTCTTGCTCCTCATCGTCCTTGGGGGTTGGCAGTCTTGTCCGCCACCGTTGGGGCCTTCGGGGGAGCCTGGGGGGCCTCTGGGGCCATCTCGGCAATCTTGCCCACCCCTGTCCCCAGAGCGGAGGAAAAGGGCTGTGCACGCGGTCCGCCTGGCTCAAGCGCGCGGCCAGTTCCACCTGCCTGCAGGGGCCCGCAGCACTGGCAGTCACACCGCTCGCCCGCAGCCAGCATGCCGGGCGCGGGCCGCCGCGGGGGCAACGACGCATTCACGGCCCAGCTCCTGAACAAGACGCGCTTGTGCAGCTTCTACGAGAGTGGCAACTGCTCCCGGGGTGAGCACTGCGGCTTCGCGCACGGGAGAGATGCTCTGCGCAAGGCCCCGGACTTCTCGTTCACCCAGCGCTGCAGGAGCTTCATGGAGACTGGGACGTGCAGGCTTCGGCGGACGAAGAAGTGTGCAGGTTTCGGAGGAGGAATAATGTATCCATACCGCTACCCTTCCCTCGTTTTCTCTCGGGGGTGGACAGACCTCCTACCCTGACGCGTCGATTAGCGAATTGGCCGTTTTCGGTTCGCGAGAGGGCGTCGCGGCCGTCATTTTTGCGGGTCCAGGTCTGTCGGTTTTTGTCCCAGGCCGTTTTCACTAAAGGGTGGTTTACTAAAGGGAGGTTTGTCCACCGCCGAGTCACCTCTTTGGACCTCCTGGAATGCCCTCGTCGCCACCGCTGGATTCGCTCCGAAATTATGGTCAGAACGCACCCCAGGAGAGGTCCGGGGAGTGGCGGTATCAGTGCATTTTGGTGTCCCAAGAAGTGTGCAGAATCGGGCTGTCCGCTGTGGGGAATGTCTGCCCCAGGGCGCATGGGAAGTTCATATCCACCATTGTGGCACGTGGGGTTAAGAATGTTTCCAGCCGCCCTTGGAGAGCCGCTCTCCTTCTGGGAGACGGAAGATGTGCTTTCTCCTACACAGTGCTTGCGCTGAGGGGGCCTTGCATGCTTCGAGCAAAGTTCGATTTGGATGTTGCGATTTCTGATTGCCGCCCTGGCGCATCATGGCTGGTGCTCTTCGATGCTCGAGTCGTCAGTGCCCTGTGGTTGTCCTGTCTTCTGGTTGCCGTGCTGAGGCCACTGGTGCCCCATGGCTGGTTTCCTGTGATGCCCCAGTCGTCTGGGCCCCATGGTAATCACGATTTCTGGTTGCTGCCCTGGCGCATCAAACAGTGTTTGCACTCAGGGGCTCTTCCTTGTTGCGAGGGGGACTGGAATAGTTTGGCGCGGCTTCTGGCTGCCGCCCCGGTGCTCCATGGCTGGTTCCTCTGTCTGGTGCCCTGTGATGCCCCGGTGGTCGCGATTTCTGGTCGCCGCCCTCGTGCCCCGCAGCTGCTGCGCTATGGCTGGTGCCCTGTGTTGCTCCAGTTGTTCGGATGTCTGATTGCCACCCTTGCACTCTATATGGCTGGTGCCCTTCGGCGGGTGCCTTACGATGCCCACGATGTCGAGGTCCTTGATTGCCGCCCTGGTGCCCCATAACAAGTGCACGTTTTGGAACACACGCATTCTGCAGCAAACGCCGTCCATGTTATACGCAGCTGCGTGATCACGCTGCACCACACAGCCTGCAAATCGGGAATCCGAGGTGGGGTTCTATTCTCACTACTGCCGCTCGAGACCAGGGGCGGCTACCGCTGTAGACCAGGGGCGGCGGACGTCTGGAGGCGCGGTTGGCGCCTCACATGGCAGACCATGACAACAGGTCAGCCGCCCCGGATTTTTAGCGGTGGTACCTGGAAGTAGTCACACCATTGGGGTCCGCGCCGCCAGTCACATCTTGTTCCCCGCAGACGAAGTGGAGTTCTGGTCTTCTCCTCCCTCCCCCTCTCCCTCTCCTTCTCACCTGCACTCGCGCGCGCGCATCAGACACAAACGAGCATGCAGTCGCACACGCTCACGACGACACATACGCGCAGCGCACCACACGCAGGCAGTCGAGGGAGGACACGTGGACGAGACACCGATAGTATACACCTAGCGGGTTGCAGGACGTGGCAGGCGCGGCACCTTCTGTATGCCAGAGGCGGTGCGCAGGGGGTGGGGGCGCCATCCGTTTCGGGCTCGCAACTTGTGGCAGGCGTGGCACTTCCTCGGCGCCACAAGGGGGTGCGCTGGGGTTGGGAGCACTATCCGTTTCGGGCTCGCAAAGCGTGGCAGGCGTGGTACTTCCTCGGCACCGCATGGGGGTGTGCAGGGGGTGGGGTCACTTATCCGTTTCGGGCTCGCAAAGCGTGGCAGGCGTGGCGCTTCCTCGAGACCGCAGGGGGGGCGCTGGGGGTTGGAGCGCTATCCGTTTCGGGCTCAGCGTGGTAAGCGCGGCGACACTACAGGGGGTGGGCAGTTGGTGGGGGCGCTATCCGTTTCTGGCTCGCAAAACGTGGCAGGCGTGGCACTTTCTCGACATCACATGGGGAATGCTGGGGGGGGGGTCCTATCTGGTTCGGGCTCGCAAGGCGTGGCAGAGGAGTGAAGAGGGGAGGCATAGGCGAAGAGGAACAGGATGCGTTACACTTTCCACCCACGTCGCAGCCGCGTTCACCCTGCACTCCTACCGAACTTCCAAGAAGGTCGTGATTTCTTTCAATTCGCAGTCCTCGGAGCTCTCGACCTCGTCGCGGGTACCAGGTTCATGCTCACAGGGCGTTGCAAGCGTACCGATGCGCTGATGGAGTTATGATGGGTGTGCTTTGCCACCAGACACTTTATGTCCAAGGTGGCATTCTCACAGTCTGCACGCAGCCCAGAGACTACATCGAAGGGCGCGGCGACGCCGCTTCACCGCATCACAAAGACGCGCCCATAGCAAATTCGAACAAAGCAAGGGTCGATGTGAAAGAAATTCCCACGCAGGACCTAAAATAGGTATGTGGGGTTCCTCGTTCGCGCCATTCTTCGACCGCTGAAGGCAGGGCAGCGCGTGCTCGTTCGCCCACGCGCCGGGCCAGCTGCGGCGCTGGAGGCACAGCTGGGATGCCAAGCGCAACAGCAGCGGCTCCAGGCGCGGCTCGGTGGAGGGCGTGCCGCAGGAGTGCGAACTGCAGCAGCAGCAGCCGCAGCCGCAGCAGCCGCAGCCGCAGCCGCAGCCGCAGCCGCAGCCGCAGCCGCAGCGCCCGGTTGCCCCCGGCGCCCGCTCCGCGGCCGCCCGCGCGGCCTCGCGCCTCCAGGACGTGCCCGCGCCGGGGGCCGCGCCGCGCGAGCGGCAGCGGCAGCCGCAGGCCCCGCGTGCCCCGGAGGGGCCCGGCGCCGAGGCCGCCGGGCGAGGCGCGCGCCGCGGCCCGGCGCTGCGCCGCGCCTCCGCGCCGCAGCGGCCCGCCGGCGCGCAGGCTCCGCGCCCGGAGGCCCCGGCGGAGGGCAGGACGCCCCTGCGCTCGGGGGCGGCGATGTTCGTGCCGCAGCCCCACGGGGGAGGGGAGGAGGCGGCCCAGGTCAGCGCGCTGCTGCACGCGCTGGACGTGCTGCCGCGGTCGGGCGGCGCCGAGGCCGCGGGGCGGGCGTGCGGCCGGGGCGACGGGGAGCCCGTGCGCTGCAGGGAGGGCGGCGCGGGCCCGGACGAGCTCCAGGCCGGGGCAAGGTTGCAGCTCGTGTGCCTGCCGCCTCCCGACCCCTGGGAAGTCAGCAGGGGAATCCACGAGAGCAGCGATGAGTTCGACGTGCAGTCCGTGTGCAGTGTGGTGACCGCGGACGACGACACCCAGATTTACTGTGGCCGGGTCAAGGAGGACCGCCCGAACGATCTTTACCTGTGACCTTTGAACGCTGGTAGCCGTCCCCCCCCCTCTGCGATCGGCCCGCCCCCCTGTGGGCAGGGAGAGGCCCCCCCCCCAACACGGTCTGGTGACCGTGCCGTCCGCCGACGGCCTAGGAGCTGACGCCGCCGACGCGAATATCTGGGGCCGCTTCCACTGGGGCAAGACGATGCTGGGCTTGGGTGTTGGTGATCATCTTCAGGCGGCCCGAGGGGCCCCCGTCCGAGCGGATGGTCTCGGGGCAGGGGCCGTGATCCGAGCATGTCCGAGAGCGCCTGCGGCCTCTCCTGGGGCCCAGGAGCGCCTCGTGGGGTCCCTGGGCTCTGCCAGGGTCTGTTTCGACCCGATTGGTCCGATTCGACCTCGGGTGAAGGGGCTAAATTTCCGACGATCCGATGCGGCCCGATGCTCGCACGGCGCTGTTGTGCAGCTCGGCGCAACCGATCCGATGCAATCTCGGTGCCGATGCGGCCCGTTCCGATGTATCCACGTCCGATTCGATGCTGGCTGATCCTGCCATCTGTCACCAGGCTGCGCCAACATTCGCGCGTAAGCTTCCCGCGTAAGGCCGCGCGTAAGCGCCCTCTGATTCGCGCGGTGTGCCACACGCTAGCGGCCCGCGTAAGCCGTGGCGTAAGGTCGCTTTGTCATCTTGCGTAAGACCCGTTTCTTTTCGTCGCTCATTTGCGGCCCGATCCGACGTACGTTTCGACTCCAACCGAATTCCCGGCTCGGCGCCGACTCATCCTGCCATCCGTCACCAGAGGCTTTGGGCCCCCCCAGGCTGACCCGTAATGCTGCATTTCGGATCAATCCGCTATGCTTAAGTCGGGCATGTCCTTCAACAGGCGTAATAGGCAAGAATAGCAGAAATTATCACGGCAAAGCAACCTAACAGCGATGTGTAGGAGCATATCTGGAAGCATTCCCCTTAAGATTCAGACGAGAATCCAGTTGTAGAATTCTGCTGTTCTCGCAGTCGCAGTCGCGTTCGCGATGGCAGTCGCAGTGGCAACGGCAGCCGCAGTCATAGCCTCAGCATCAGCCTGCCTCAGCCTCAGCCTGCCTCAGCCTCAGCCTCAGCCTGCCTCAGCCTCAGCCTGCTTCAGCCTCAGCCTCAGTCTGCCTTCAGCCTCGGCCTCAGCCTCAGCCTGCCTCAGCCTCACCCTGCATCAGCCTCAGCCTCAGCCTCAGCCTGCCTCAGCCTCAGCCTGCCTCAGCCTCAGCCTCAGCCTGCCTCAGCCTCAGCCTCAGCCTCAGCCTGCTTCAGCATCAGCCTCATCTGCCTTCAGCCTCGGCCTCAGCCTCAGCCTGCCTCAGCCTCAGCCTCAGCCTCAGCCTCAGCCTCAGCCTCAGCCTCAGCATCAGCCTCAGCCTCAGCCTCAGCCTCAGCCTCATCAGCCTCAGCCTCAGCCTGCCTCAGCCTCAGCCTCAGCCTCAGCCTCAGCCTCAGCCTCAGCCTGCCTCAGCCTCAGCCTCAGCCTCAGCCTCAGCCTCGGCCTCAGCCTCAGCCTCAGCCTCAGCCTCAGCCTCAGCCTCAGCCTCAGCCTCAGCCTCAGCCTCAGCCTCAGCCTCAGCCTCAGCCTCAGCCTCAGCCTCAGCCTCAGCCTCAGCCTTCAGCCTCAGCCTCAGCCTCAGCCTCAGCTCAGCCTCAGCCTCAGCCTGCCTCAGCCTCAGCCTCAGCCTCAGCCTCCTCAGTCTGCCTTCAGCCTCGGCCTCAGCCTCAGCCTGCCTCAGCCTCAGCCTGCATCAGCCTCAGCCTCAGCCTCAGCCTGCCTCAGCCTCAGCCTCAGCCTCAGCCTCAGCCTCAGCCTGCCTCAGCCTCAGCCTCAGCCTGCTTCAGCCTCAGCCTCAGTCTGCCTTCAGCCTCGGCCTCAGCCTCAGCCTGCCTCAGCCTCAGCCTGCCTCAGCCTCAGCCTCAGCCTGCCTCAGCATTCAAAATGTGGCCCGGGAATGGACTTCTGGGAACTCGAAGAACACGAAGAGGCCTGCAGTTGGCTCGGGGCATTCAAAATCATGCCCAGGGATGGACTTCTGGGAACTCGAAGACCACGCAGTGGCTTACAGTTTGCTCCGGGCATTCAAAATCATGCCCAGGAATGGACTTCTGGGAACTCGAAGACCACGAAGTGGCCTACAGTTGGCTCCGGGCATTCAAAAGCATGCCCAGGAATGGACTTCTGGGAACTCGAAGACCACGAAGTGGCCTACAGTTGGCTCCGGGCATTCAAAATCCTGCCCAGGAATGGACTTCTGGGAACTCGAAGACCACGAAGTGGCCTAGAGTTGGCTCCGGGTATTCAACATGTGGCCCAGGAATGGAGTTTTGGGAATTCGAAGACCACGAAGTGGCCTACAGTTGGCTCCTGGCATTCAAAATGTGGCCCGGGAATGGAGTTCTGGGACCTCGAAGACCACGAAGTGTGTAACTGTTTGCTTAAAACGACTTCCGCGGCTTCTCCCCGGCACCCGCCCAGACCCCCGTGGGCTAGAAGCCTATCAGTCTTCGCTGTTAGGTGAAAAAGTTCGGCGACGATTTTCGTGTTCCTCTGACTGTTTTTGATGATTCATTTGCTTACGCCGCACCGCCGACCCCTTGGGGCGATAGCAAGAGTGAATGACGGAGTTCGCGGAACGCGCGCGATCGTTGGGCAATCTTGGGGTTTCGGCCTGTCCTACGTAGCGTGTGGGGTTCAAGGGGGGGCCTTGAAGGGAATTGCTTTGAAGTTTTCCGTGGTCTTATGTGGGTTTCTTGGGGCCTTCACGGGGCTTGTCCCAGGCCTCCTTTTCCATCCCCTGGATAGGCTCGGGGATCGTTGAGAACCAGCTTGGGGTGCGTCCGGCCAGAAGGTCGAGAGTGAAGCCAGCTGTGTCGACGAGGAGCTTCCTGAAGGCCCAGCGGGGGCGGAGAGCGCACAAGAACTAGGAGTCTCATGCCTCGAGCCTCGATCCACCCCGTGTTCCTCCCTTTTGCGAAGGGGTGGTACTGGCCAGGGAGGTCGATCCTCATCCCGGACCCTCGGTGGTGGTCCCAGGCACCGAAAACGGTTCCTGGAGGCCAAATTCGAGGAGATGCCTCGGGTGATCGAAAGACCAAGAAAATCTGCGAGACATCGGCGGCGACGACGAAGCCATTTTTTCTCCTCTTCCTCCTCTTCCTCCTCCTCGTCCTTCTCCTCTTCTTCTTCTTCTTCTTCTCGATCTGGGTAGATACCCGCGGCAATTCCGGCTGCCTGTCCAGATATTTTTGTTTGAGCAGCTTTCGTGTCTGATAGGTTTTGGTCTCTGGGGGCCGTTACTGGGCCGCAGGACTTTCAAGACCAGACGGACCTGGGGCGAGAAATTGTATCGGCGGACCTGGGAACAGAGGTTCGGGGTACGCATTTGTGCGGAGTAGCCTGTCTGAAGGTTTGTTGTGGTTGGGGGGGTTCTGGGCCCCTACCCTGTCGCCGCGGCTGGATGCATTTGGGAAAACGATTGCGACTGGATTCCGGGAAAGGTCTGGGGGGCCCATGGTGAACGATTTCTGCGCAGAGTCTTAGTCTTTTCAGTTTTGTCGTGGTTTTCGTCGTCGAAGGGCCGCCGCCGTGTCTTCTCGGGGCTAATTGCTCGAATCCTCCATTCGGGTTTCCCCTCGGACCCTTTTCGTGGGGCCGTCCTGGGGCTCTCCCTGGTGGCTTCGGGGGTCCTGTTGGGGCCGTCTGGGAGCCTTCTTTGGGGGCATGCGGGAGCTGTTGGGCTGATTTCGGGGGGCTTATCGGGCTGCTGTTCGCCGCGCGACAGGCCGAGGAGCAAGAGTGCGAAACTTGGGCGTCTCCCTTAGGGAAGGGGCCGAGGTTTGGTTCTGCCGGGCCTCTTGGGGACGCGTCCCGGTGGCGTGTCGGGGCGTCGAGGGGAGGCCTCAGGGGGTCTGCTGGAGGCAGTGGCGGGCGTCTGGGAGCGATCTCCTCACGAGTCGTGATTCGCGCTCGGGGCCCTCTTGGAGGCATATGGGGTTACTTTGAATTGATTTGGGGGCTTCTTGGGTTGCTGTGGGCCTCGTGCAAGGCCAAACAGCGAATGTGCTAAGCTTGGACGTTTCCCTTAGGGAACGGGCCGATGTTTGCTTGTGGAGGGCCTCTTGGGCCGCGTCCTGGTGGCGTGTTGGGGCGTGCAAGGGGTCTTAGGGGCCGCGTGAAGGGCCAAGAGGTTAACGTGTTGGAAATATGTGCTTTCCATCGAGAATGAGACGGTTGTTGCTTCTGGACGGCTGCTTGGGACGCCTCTGGGTAGCGTCTTGAGGCGTCTTGAGGGCCTGTAGGGCTGTCTGGAGACAATGTTGGACGACTTGGGGCACTGTTGAACGACTTGGGCCGACCAGGAGGCCTTTTAAGAACCCTCTAGGCCCGTCTTCGGGCCCTCTTGGGACCGTCCTGCGGCTCTCCAGGGCCGTTGCTCTTGGGGCGCCCGGAGGCCGTCTTGGAACCCTCTTGAAAGCCATTGGGGCTGTAGGGGGTCGATGTTGGATGCTTCTTGGGCCGTTGTAGGCGGCCTCGTGGAAGCCTAAGAGGCGAATGTGCTGAACATGTACGTTTTCACTTGGAAATGGGACGGTTTTTGCTTCTGGAGGCCTTCGTGGAACGCCTCGTAGTAGCTTTTTCAAACGTTTCGGGGGCCTATGGGGAATCGTCTGCCCCTCGTGGGCCGTCCAGAAGGCCTTTGTGGACCCTCTTGGCCCGTTGCGGGGCTCTCGTGGGACCGTTCTGCGACTGTCCTGGGCCGTTGCTGTGGTTTCTGAGGCCTTCGTGGTGCGCCCGGAAGCCGTCGTGGAGCCTTTGTCAGAGCTTCTTGGGGTGTCGGGGGTCGCACTTGGAGGTTTACTAAGCCGTTGTAGGCCCCGTAGAATGCCCAAGAGGCGAATGTACTGAAAATGTATGTCTTCCCTCGGGAATGGGACGGCTTTGGCTTCTGGAGGCCCTCTTGGGGCGCCTCGTGGACGCGTTTTCAAACGTCTTGGGGACTGATGGGGCCGTCTCGAGGCCGTCTTCGGCGTTTTGGCACGATCTTTCGTCGACTCGTAGCTCTCTTGGACCGTTCTGGGACCCTTTTGAACCTTTTGGCCCGTTTTGGGGCCTCCTGAGGCTCCAAGTGTGCGGCCAGGACCTTTGCCCCCCACCTCCCCGCCCCCCCATCCAAACTGGCCGGACCGGGCCCCTGGGGGAGGGGCTTGGGGAGGGGGAAGCATCTCACACGCCGTGACCCCAGGGGGTCGGCGGATTTCTCGACCACTTTCTATCGCCGTTTCATGATCTGCCTGCAGGAGGGCAGGCCCGACCCAGCGCTCTGCCGGCAAGGGTACCTCTGGGGTGGGCAGGGTCCCAGAGAGCCCCCAAAGGCACGCCACGGGCCCAGGCGCCCAGCGCCCACGACGCGCGCGCGGCATCCGCAGCCGCGACGGCGTTGCCCCCCCCCCCCCCCTGTGAAAGGAACCCGTCTCATACCCTCATCTCTACTCCTCACTCGCCCTTTTGCCTGCCTTATCGGCTCAGGTACTGGAAGAGACCAGGACGCTGGTCGCACAGGAGGAAAGGATCCCCATCTTTCCCTCCTTCCTCTACCTACGGATCAGGGGTTCTGTACCTTTGGTACTCTAACCCCACACCCCCCCCCCTGGAGGACTCCTCCCCGCGCCTGGCGGCGACCGTCCGCCGCACGTTCCTGCACTTCTTCGTGCCGGGCGAGGGCAGCAACCTCGGCAGCCGCCATCGCGCCTCGTCGGCGCACTGAAGGCAGCCCGGCGCCGCCGCCGCCGCCGCCGACTCCGTCGCCGCCGCCGCCGCCGTCGTCGTCGTCGTCGTCGGCGGCGTCGTCGCCACCGCCGCCGCCGTCGCCGCCGTCGTCGGCGTCCTGGCTCTTGTCGCCCGCTGGCTGGCACCGAATCCGGCGAGCAGGAACGGGGGGCGAGGTTGGAGGTGCTGGCTTCGAGGAGGTTCTTCGTCTTTTCTTCGGTCTCTCTGGGGTCCGCTGTCAGGCCCCAAGGCCGGCAGAAACGGATCCGGGGGAAGAACTTCACCAGAGGGGCCCTGGGTGGGGTCCAGGGGCTGATTTTGAGCGGATTTGCCCTAATCTCCGAGGCGGGAATGTATACATGACCACCGCCTGGAGGATCAATTTTCGGAGACCTCGGCAGGCGATAGATATGGACACATCCGGGCCCCAGGCCCCCCCGATCTATCTATCTATATATATATATATATATATGTATACATATATGTATGTATGTATGTATGTATGTGTGTATGTTTGTATGTATGTATGTATGTATGCATGCATGCATGCATGTATGTTTGTATGTATGTATGTATGTATGTATGTATGTATGTATGTATGTATGTGTGTATATGCATGCATGCATGCATGCATGCATGCATGTATGTATGTATGTGTGCATGTATATATGTATGTATGTATCTATTTATGTATGTGTGTATGTATGCATGTATGTGTATATGTATGTATGTATGTGTTTATGCATATATATATATGTATGTATGTTTTTGTATATGTATACGTATAGTATATGTATATGTTTTTGTTTATGTATATGTATACGTTTATGTACATGCACATGTATATGTATTTGTATAGGTATATGTCGATGCATCTGTATATGTATCTGTGTATGTACATATATGTGTATATGTATAGGTATATGTATATGTATATGTGTATGTGCATGTATGTGTACATGTATATGTATATGTGTATGTGTATGAATATGAATGTTTGTATGTACGTACGTATGTATGTATGTGTGTATGTATGCATGCATGTATACGTATGTATGTCTACATGTATATCAGTATATATGTATATCTCTCTGTATGTCTGTCTGTCTGTATGTCTGTCTGTCTGTCTGTCTGTATGCATGCATGCATGCATGCATGCATGTATGTATGTATGTATGTATGTGTGTGTATGTATGTATGTATGTATGCATGCATGTATGTATGCATGGTATATGTATATATGTATGTGTGTATGTATGCATGTATGCATGTATGTATGTATGTATGCATGTATATATATATGTGTATATGTATATATATATATATATATATATGTCTGTGGGTATGTATGTATGGATGTATGGATGGATGCTGGTATATTTGTATGTTTGTATGTCTGTATGCTTGTATGTATGTATATGTATAGTTCTATACATAACGGGCCCCGGGGGGGTCATAACACATCCATAATCCACAGCCCCGTGGGCCACCAGGACGCCGGTTGCCAGGCTGCGGACATGGATCAATCCCCGCCTCGCACTATCCCCCCCTTCTCGGCCGACCTTCTCGGGGCCCGTCCAGTCCAGACCCCCCAGCCGCCTCCAACTCCTTTGTCCCCCTCTTCCTGCTCCTCCGCCCGCGGTTCAGTCGGGCAGGTCCCGCTACAGGAGGAGCATTCAAAAAGGTCGGGCCGGGCGAAAGGGGGGGGGAAAGGGGGGGTTACGAAATTTGCTGCATGCAGCTGGTTTCGGCCTCACCGAGGGGCCCATTCCTCGATACATAGCCGCCTCCGGCGCCGGGAGGCGCCGGGAAAATCAGCTACGTGAGCTGATTCCCACCCCCCCCCTTTGCTATCCCCCCTTTCGCCCGACCCGAGAAGAATGCAATATAGTTGGACGAGGATTCTTCGTGCCTTCTTGACTACTTCTGATTCTTGTTGGATCCGTCTTGGCAATTGTGTCCAGAGTCCGCCTGCAGGAGGACATGCCCAGCCGAAACCTGCGGGCGCCAGCACCAGCGGGTCCATTGGTGGACCATCTGCGAGGGCAGACGGCCGCCTCCGCGCCCAGCCGCGGCCATCATGGAGAGTCCTCGTGCTTCGCTGAAGTCGGGCATGTCCCTCTACGAAAGGAGTATTCGAAAATAGTCAAACAATAGTCAGCGGACGATTTTCCGACTATTTTTGACCATCTTTGAGCATTAGTTGAATATTTTTTATTCTTCTTCCACAATCCGCCTGTAGGAGGACATGCCCTACCTAATGCCTCGCTGCTCTTTCACTTGTTCCCTTGTCTCTCTTCTCAGAGGCTTCCCCGGCTCCCCGCTCGTCCTCGCTTCCCCCTGTCCTGGGACCCCCCATGCGGGCCCATTCGCAGCTCCGCAGCCTGGTTTTCTGCTGCACGCGCGAGCGGATTGCCTCCTCTGCCGCGCCGCGACGAACAAGAAGTCCTGGGAATCCTTGGAGCTCGCTGGCACCCGCCGGCAGAACGGAGCCCAGACCCCGCCGTCATAGGTCCAGACCCCGCTACTCGGGACCGGCTTCTCGTCCTGAATCCTTTTTTTCGACGGTCCCGAGGCCCGGTGAGGGCCCCCAGAGGCCGAAAGCATATGGAACAACCTCCCGTCTTGTTTTTTGCATGACTCGAGGGGGTCTTCGAAGAAGGACAAAAACACACAAACATAAACTTTTGGCGCCCCGCGCGGATTTCTCGGATCTGTGCTGGGAGCCCCTGGCGGCGCCTCCGGCGCCGCCCCTGGCGCGCGAAGCGCGCCAGGGCTGGGGGGCACAGCGCAGATCCAAGAAATCCGCGCGGAGCGCCCAAAGTTTACGTTTCACTGTTTTTCTTCCTCCATGGGAGGCGAGGGCCACCGGGAGATCACGGCCGGCACCAGCCGGCGCTCTGCCTCCCAGCGCTCTGCCGCGCGCCCGGCCCAGCCCTTGTCGCGGGCTGTGCGCAGCGGTGCGTGGCCGAGCATGCCCTCTCTCGCCGCCCGCCGCCTCCTCCTCCTCCTCCTCCTCCTCCTCCTCCTCCTCCTCCTCCTCCTCCTCCTCCTCCCCCCCCCTCGCTTCTCGCTCCTCCTGCCTCCTGCCTCCTGCTTCCTCCTCCTCCTCCTCCTCCTCCTCCTCCTCCTCCTCCGCCCGCCTCCGTGCCCTTCCTCGCTGAGACCGCCGATCCTTCGGCAGCCGTCGTGGGCAGCTTTCTTCCCAGACCCCCTCGAGTCATGAGAAATCACGGCGGGTTCTTTTGTCGCCACGTTTTCGGCCTCTGGGGGCCCCCTACCAGGCCTCGGCACCGTCAAAAAGCGACTCGGGCCGAAACATTGGTCCTGGGGGATGTGTCCAGACCTCTGGGGGTCGACGTCATGAAAAAATAATGACGTCGGGGGTCTGGGTTCATCGAGATCAAAAGAACCCTTAACTCTCGGAGCGCCATGAAAGCGTGGCCTCGCGTAGGTCCTTGCCTTCACATTCGGGAAAATAGTTCTGGGCGGTTTGGTCCGGTACATCTGCAGAAACAACCCTGGTATGCCTAATGTTCTTGGGCCTTCTAACTCGGGTCCCTTCCCACATGGTTGGGGTCTTTTTTTGGTTACACGTTTCTGCGTCGCACGCGGCAATGCCTGTCGCAGTTCTTCTCTTTCCAGAGAGCGCGCGCACATTGGCCGCTGGCCGCGGCGGCGGCGGCGGAGGAGGAGGAGGAGGAGGAGAAGGAGGAGGAAGAGGGGGATGGGGAGGATGAGGAGGAGGAGAAAGAGGAGGAGGAGGAGGAGGAAGAGGAGGAGGAGGAGGAGGAGGACGAGGAGGAGGAGGGGAGGACCTGTCCTGAGGTGCGCTCCGGCAAGAGCTTCCAGGTGGACGCAGCTATGGAGGCGGGAAGGCTCGGAGAGGCGGCAGTCTCGACCTCTCCGCCAGGAGGTGCGGGGCCCACCCGAGCTTCTTCGACTTCGACCACAGAGGCGAGTTGAGGATATACGATCTGGGCATGCTGGAGGACATCACGCGGATGGGGCAGAGCTGCCACTCACTCAGGCTGAACGGGGAAGCGTCGTCTTGACGACTTGCAGTGCGCGCCCGTTCAATTAGCCTTCGGCGCCATCCTCGCCATTGCATCCGTTTGACAGCACCTCCACGCCACTTCGCGAATTTTTAGTCTTTTCCAACCATGCGCGACATCTGATACTTACAATGTAAATATGGCCTGTTGTTCGACGACTTTCACGCCCCTCCTTGGTCTGGGGCTGCAGGCGCAGGTGAAACCACGTTGTTTGTCAGGTGCCAACATATGTGCTTTCTCATGTGCGGAGCTGTGAGTTGCCATGATATCACAAGCCATGCTAACACGCTTTACAGCTGTCTCTGGCCTTTTATACTATGGTGTGATTGGGATGATGGGGAGGAGGAGAGTAGGATGAGGGAGAGGAGGGGAGCTGGAATGCATGCCAGCACAAGTATTTGCCGAGATGGCTGTCTGGCCGCCTGCCGCTTCAAGTACACAACTTTGTCGATTGCAAAGCAAGGGGCTTGCGCACTCCACCAGGGGTGCCTGATGGCATCAATGCCTTTATCCATAAGTTCTTCTTCTTTGCCAAGCCAAGGCCCAGCCTTTCCCACCACCCTGTGGAGTTGAGTCCTCGTTTTGAGTACGGATTGCCCCGCGTTTCTTATTTCCTCCTTCCTCCTTCCTCCGTCCCCTCCTCCCTCCCCCCCATGCCTGCCGCTGCCCTCCGTAGTCTCTCTGCTTCGGCACACCCCCCACACGTTCCATGGCTCCATATGAAGCTCCACCTAAGGCATCAGTGGCTAGGTTCGCATGCCGTCTCCACACCATTTCGGCGCACCTCTCACACGTGGCCCCACAGGGAGCTCCACCTAAGCCCCCGGTGGCTAGGTCCGCATTTCTTCTCCACGCCATTTCGGCGCACCCATCTCACGTTCCTAGGGCCTAGGGAGCTCCACCTGAGGCGCCAGTGGCAAGGCTCGCATGCTGTCTCCACACC